AAAGTTGAATTCCTAAGCTCCTAGACTATGCTTTGTAGAAACCACTTTTTTTGATATAAAATATAAAAGCCCAAAATAAATACAAATGTAATCCAATTATTTCATGAGATATTTAAAAAAAATATCCAAATTTTATGATCCTTTAAAATTGAAAATCGTCTTCCTAGAAAGCCTAATTATTTTGCATTATTCATACATATTAACAAAGCTGGGCAGTAACTAGTTAAAAAGTTAAAAGTTAAGTTAAAAGTTACTTTTTTTGATAACTTTTAACTTAACTAGTTAAAAAAAAAATAGAATGTAGAAAATAACTTAGTTAGTAACTAAGTTATTTATTGTTATAAATAATTGTAACTTAACTTAGTTATTTTGTTAAAATGAAAGTTATTTGTAAAAAGTTATTTTCAAAAATGTTTCTATTATGATTTATGAACTGTTTATTATTTGCATCGATATTTCTGAGAGCCGTCAGGACGGAGATTATATGTATATTATTTTATTTATTTCTATTTACTATAGTCTATAATATACTATAATATAGACATATATTATTTATTATTATTTATTATTTATTAATTAATTCACGGAATAAAAATAAATAATATTAATTACTAATTAGTATTATTATAGTAATAATAGTGATTATTTTTATTTACTTATTATAGGTAAGTACTTATTTGTAATGTAACTAGGAAGTTAAATGTTAATACTTTCTATAAAATGACAACAGTTAAGATGTATGCTACATTGTTACTAGTGTACTGTGTACATTGATAGGTAGGTAATAATACAATTTCCAGAACGGACCTAATTAGTAAATTCTGATACTGTGATACTTATGCCGTGTTTTCTACAAACTACACTCTACATTCCTTAAATATTATATTCGTATATAAATAAAATGATATATAAGAAATAATTGTTGTCAATTTGTTTTACTTTATACCAAAACTAGTTCTTTTCCTACGATGAGATAAAAAAAACGTTTATGAGTAAGTTAAAGGTATTTAAAAAAAAAAGTAACTTAACTTTTAACTTAACTTAGTTATTATTTTCATGAAAATTTGTAACTTAACTTAGTTACTCAAATACAGTAACTTTTTAAAACTAACTTTAACTTAACTTAGTTATTTTTTATTTTAGGTTTAACTTAACTTTAACTAGTTAAACAAATTGGTTAACTTGCCCAGCTTTGCATATTAAAAATTAAAACTGAACATTCAGAAATATGTATAATTTACCACCGCTTTTTGGTTTAAAACATACAAAAAATACGTGTGATGCGATCCCCTTAATAGTGTTAGTCTCAAACATATTTTCTTTATAGTCATTTTCTGTATCATCTTATAATCTTATAAGTTAGTTTAATTGCTATAGTAAATATTAAATACAAATTGGACTTCTTTTAATTAATTAATGATTATATTACATTTAAATATCAACAATCATTAATTCAACAGTCAGAGATATTACAATTGAATTTATGTATATTTTTTAAATCCCATTAGTTGACTGTGTTTTTTTGAAATGTTTCTAGGATAAGTTTTGTTTGGTTGTGTAGAACCTTGATAACTTAAATGTATTTTATTCAATTTGTAGATAACTAAAAGGAATCTCTAAAGTCTAGACCCCCGCATTTCAATATTTACCTACATACAATTTTTTACGAATTTACAATATATACAATTTTTTTTTCCCCGACCGATTCCAGTTATTGAGTATTCACTGTATTCCTTTTAATATGTTGATTGCACACTTCATAATTCTTAGATTCTATTTACAGTTATGTAATTTTAAAAATGTTTTCATTTGTGAATATTTGTATTCATAAAATTGTCGTATAATATTTTATCCTATGATTACACTACAAACATCAAATCATAGTCATTCATATTGTATGTAAATATTAAATATCTTATACTTAAATTGTATGTATATAATTATAACTCAATTTGAAATTAAAATATCAATAATAGTTTAAGATATGCCAAGATAATATTCTTGCCTTTAAATTTGATAACAATTCACTAAATATTAAGATTAACAATACACAAAATTGATTTCTGAATGAAATTCTCAATGTTGCATACATTTATTTATTTATTAACGGAAACAACACACCCAGGTGTAGAGTCCTCTTATCTAAATATGTAATGGATAAATACAAAATTGAATATAATTTTAAAGAAAACTTCAAATTTTATAAAAATTTTAATCTTAATTATAATTATAAATACTATTTTTAGTTGATCTTAAGCCCGGCGACAATGGCCATTAGCTGTATGGTTTTTGTGTCGGTAGGGAGGGGAGAACACGTGTGTGTTGGGTTTGACAGAATTTTTGATTGGGCACCCGTAGGTATCTGCCATGCCCTAGTGGGGGATGACGGCACTTGTTCTCCAGACACCGTGACTTGCCCGAAGAAAAATACCGCCCGTGATCAAGATATTGAGCCAGCCGACGCCTTAGATTGCTCTATAATATTGTAACACTAATAAGTAATATTATTTAATACAACATTTTTTTTATATTAACACATTGACTCTACACCAATGTCATTTGGTGTCATAAAAACCCATAAGATATCCTAGATATCCTTAACTTTAAATTTGATAATAAATCAATTCACTGTTATATTAAAATTATACAATATTGATTCTGCTGAACACAAATTTTTTATTTTGAATGTTTGTAATATAAGGACAATGTTGGTGAAGTGTCCTTTAAATTACTTGCTAATAATTGAACAACATTTTTATTGATGTTTAGGAAGTCAGGCTGGTGCTAGCATTTCTAGTTATATGGCTCAAATGGATAAAGAACTAGCATCTACATCTTTAGGAAGTAGTTTTGTGAAAAAACCTACAAGTGACAAAAATAAATTAAAAGTATGTAATTGACCTTGTGTCCACCAATATATTTTCTTTTACATTGTTCTTATAATTTCTTATAATTTCTTTCTTACAGAAAACTGTTAGAATAGACCCTACAGTACAATGTCAAGACAGTGAAGAAGATAATTTCTCTGATGTGGAAGATTTTGAACCTGTTGACATAGACGTGAACACATTTCAACACATTCTCAAATCATATCAAGAACAGCTTGGCTTACCAGGACCTGCTGGCAACCTTTTAGGACCAGCTGGTCTGAATTTGGGTCAAGAACCTTCCAAATAATTTTATTAAGTACAAATCACATTCTTCTCTTTTAATATACAATTTTTTTTTTATACATACATATATATATATATTTAATTTACTATCTAGTTCTTACAAATTAAATAATTCCATGTATTTTATATCTTTTAATATAAGTAAATGTTTCATCATAATTAAGTTTTTAATTAAAAAAAAAAATCATTTTTTTTACGTCAGGTAATGACTATCTTTTAAAATCATCCCTGATAATGTTTATTTACTCTAGTCGTGATGTGTTTCATCATATTATATATTATTATGAATAAAATCAATTAATTCTATTTGAGGTCTCTAACGTGTTCTGTTTAAATAAATCACCTTTTAGACTCTTTTTGCTTACAGCTCAAACCCGTATACATCAGTCTTTTATAATATCTATACTGTTCTACCAAACTCTTGCCTAAACATTAAAGTCTGAGCATTTTGTGTGTGTCAATACTTTGCGGAAATCAACAATTTGACTTAAAAAAATTTGTTTGATTTTTTTTATGATAACATTAACATAAACAAAAGTAACAATTGAAAAAAAAATTATTTTCAAAAACCCAACAATACTCAAAGTATCACATATAATAAACGTATGTAAGTAAGTAAATCAAAAATTTTCAACAAAAAATTTGTAAACATTAGCCAGTGAAAAAAAATTATTTCATTTGCGAGTCATGCTGTTATGAAGTGTACGAAATCCACTGAATAAGAAAAAAAAACAAAACAAAATTTTAATGTCTTAATAAAAACAGGATACATGAGCAATAAATAAGGTAATTATAATTATTACTAATTGTATTGTGTCAAATATATAATATTATGATATCTGCCGTGACATTATTGTTACTAGACCCGTAAATCATTTTTTACCATTTGTATTAAATCCTTACAATAACTAATCGCCGGGCTCAAGTTAAAAAAAAAAAATTATCGAAACTGCAGTATGTTTGAACGTCGAAAACGAACCGATTCCCATGATTTCATTTTGATATTCGTTAATAATATTGTATAATTTTCTTTGATTTGTGTCGTTAAAGTAAAATCGTCGAAAATTACAGTGCGCGGTTGTCTTAAAGTGTACCCACCTACAAAACGATCTTAAGTGATTGGGACGGGGTATTAAATGGGATTTCGATAAAACCCAATAGACGGGGTGGCCCGTCAGAGACGAGAGAGCAATCACAAAACTCGTATAATATATAGGTACGTATAACATAACACGTAATAAATAATAATTAATAAATATTAGAATATATACATAATATATACGTAGGTGCGCGAGCGGCTTTAAAACTTAAAAGACGCTTCACTGATAAGTGAAGAGACTACTCGGGCAAAGATCATCGGAAACTAAATATAACAATAATAATATATTATGTGTGCCGATAAGCTTGATGGACCGAACGACGTGTTGTGTGTGTGTGTATGAGTGTGAGTGTATTAATTGATTCAGAAAAAAAATATAACCGATAATGTTCCAAATCATGTTAAGAGAGCGGGAGGATGGGCGGGGATAAATTATTATTATTATTGTGATTTAGACGATTAGTATGTTATAATATGGAGCAGACGAGCAGAATACCTATTAGGTTTATATTATTTTAATCACCGTTTCAGTTGGTCGGTAGTTGTGCGTTCGGTAGGTTCAGTATAATATAATATATTGGACATCGGTTTCCCGGGGCCTGCGAACGGTTTCGATTTTAAAATTTTAAACCGATTTTCGGGCGCCATCACGCGATTATATTATTTCGCATTCGTCGCGGCCCTGGATGCAAGCGATCGAAGACAATAATATAATATAGGTACCCATCATGGAATTGATCGAAGTGGCACCAAAGCCCAACGACGCTGCATTGGAAATGCAATGTTACTTGGAAGACGATCCAGAGAATATGGAGTGCGTCGACGATTGTGTGGCATACGGTGTCAACGGAAAGCCACCGTCGTACCTGACACCGCTGTTGGCCGTACAGGTAAAAATATGTCAATATTACAAGAATATATAGTTTTTATAGTCTTTTTTTTTCATTAGCGACTCCACCACTCTAAACGTAATTGTACCTAATACCTATTAATTATCCCGACCTGTATTTTAGATTATAGTTCTTCAACAATGCAAAGGTATTGTTTTTTTAAATCTGAGATTTTTTTTTTTGGGGGGGGGGGGGTAGACATTAATCCTAATATCCCTAGCTAACACTCAAATGTAAATAGGAATAGACTTTGAAAACAAGTTGAGCATTTTTGCGGGTTTTTTGCCGGTATACCTATTAAGAATTATTCGTAATATTGGACCAACCAACATTTTTTCAAATGTTAAATGTTTAAAATACTTTTCCACATTTTGTCTAGACACCAATAATGTTGGTAAATATAGTATTTTAAAAATAATCTAATTTTTAACACATCTGTAATATAGGGTGACTCGGTAACTAATTATAAATACCTATATATACCTATGCTTTATTAGTTATAGTAAAATAAATACATATATAATATAATGTGTGAAAATATGAATTAAGCAAGGACACACAAAAAATATGTATTTATCATTATTGTTATAAACGTTTTGCAGAACGTAGTGACCACTTTATGTTGTTTGATCTTCGTTTATAATATTTTGGCCCCAAAACTGTGCATGTTGCCAGAAGACCCGGCACGAGCACACTTGCTGGCCACGGCCGTCATGATGGCCGGCATCGGAACCGTGTTGCAGACAATTTTGGGTGTCAGGTGAGCATATATTAATTAATTATTTTAATCGATCATATAGATTTAGGCCTACTAATATAGTTATAATATTTAAAGGTTAAGAAATATAATATAGTGACATCTTTTAGATTGTGAAGCGATGAATGTATTGATTTTACAAATAATGTGTGGATTTAATTTATATTTTATATTTAATCTGTCTTCCATCACCGATTGGAGTACTTAGTAAAAATGCTTCAATTTTCTACTTCAGAACCTTTTCTGGTAGAAAAGGCAATTTAATTGGTACTTTGGAATGCAAAAGTTTGCAAAATAAAATTATGATCTTTACGTAAAAAGTTAAAATTTTTATAAGATTGGATATTCACTCGATTTCTCATGTAGCGATTTTCTTATTCTGCTGTAATTCAATAATTAAAATAATAACTGTAGATACTTTAAATTTATACCATATGCTTATTTTATAAATTCCTATGATTGATAACATTTTCAAATTATTTTGACTCATTTTGAGCTGTTTAAGGAAAATTTTCAATTTTTTTAGTTTTTTTTTCTATAAATATCAATTAAATTTTAGTTGTTTGGTGAAAAAGCGTGAAAATTTAATACGTGCGGCTTTTAGTATATTGTTACAATAGCAGTAAGTTGAAAAATATTTAAAATGCATATGCACACATTTTTTTTATAAGCATTTAAAGTTGAAGTTTGAAAAAATGCATCAAATTTTAAATTTTCAAATTATTTTGTAGTTGAAAATTTATAAAATATTCAACTTGTATAGCTATAAGGATTGAAAATTTAAAATAAGGTTCCACTTAAACAGGTCTATAAATTACTTTGTTCACAATAATATCATCAAATATACTTTGTAATACATCATAATAGGCTGACCGTCTTTGCTCAGAATCGTTTTTCTTATACAATGATTGTATATCATTGAATTCAAATTTAACACCATCCATTAAAGTGACCCACTTGTACAGCAGAGCGACACCCACCTGCCACCTTTTTTCCTTAAATTTAAGTTTTTACTGTACCTATAACGCGTTATTCGAAATATTACCTTTGACAAAATACAATAATTGTTGTGTAGGCTTATAGTGTGTCACTGAAATATCTTTAATGGTATTTTGTTTTTTATTTACCTATCTAAGTGTGACTGGATGCTTGGATATATATTTACAAAATTTTTTAACTATTTACAATAGTAAAGAAGTAATGTTATACGCCCTATAAGTAAAATTTATTACGTTTCTACTTTATATTATTTATTTATATAAATAGTTATTAAACCATAGACTATACAATGCAATGAAAAAAGAAAACTAAAATGATAATAATACTGTACATAGTATTATAGTTATTGTATTACTATCAGAACTATAAGAACTAACTCCTTCTCAATAGCATTTTTTTTCCTTGGTATATTTGGAGGCCATTTTTAATAACGCTACTCAGTACTGCAGCTCTCTTTTATAGTTAGAGTCTAACTGATAGGTAAGTAAGTTAGATTATATTATGAAAATGTTTATATGATAAAAAAATCCCTCCGTATATACTTATATTGTTATTATTAGTATTATACTATTAAATTATATTAAATTTCACGTTCTTTTATAATGCTAGTATATAGCATATTATTCTTACGACACTCTAATAAATATAATATTAAATAGGCTTCCGATCGTGCAGACCAGTGGATTTGTGTTCCTTTCCTGCACACTACCCATATTGGATTTGCCGGAATGGAAGTGTAATAGCAACATCGATCTGTTCACGATGGGTCCTGAGGCCCGTACGCAGGTATGGCATCTCCGTGTTCGGAACATTCAAGGCGCTATGATCATCGTCGGTATCATTCAAATGTTTTTGGGATACTCTGGTAAGAATACATAAATAACATTAAAATAATATTTTCCTGTATAATATACACTGTACATGGCGCGTCACGATTTCTGGTTTCCTACGAGTTATAGTGTTAATGATTAAACGGGAAAACTCGATGGGACAATGTTGTTATACTGTTTAGTATCATATGTATTGTAATGTTTAACTGTGTAAGTATATTAAACTGCCCATATATGAAATTCTTTTAAAACCAATCTAGACTTATAATTATGGGGAGATGCAAACATTTTAAATCTGAAAAAAAAAATCATTTCAAAATATTACCATAAACAAAATAAAAAATTTCCCACCATACCCATACATATATCTTATCACAGCAATCACACTGATTTTCATCTAAAAACTGTTCAGAACAAAACAAAAATAAATCTATAAGAGCTTCCAAGCTTTTCTTACCACCTTGGCTCCTTTACTATAACACCCTAAATTGAAACTTTATCAACTAATGATGAAATCCTTGGTAATCCTGCTAGATGCTTGAAGTGCAGATGATGTAGAGGCTACTTGCTAAACCAACATACTATATAAACTAATAAATAAAAAATAAAACTGATGTGATATCATAAATGGGTTGGTTTCTTTCACAATTTGTTGATGCATAATTTTACTCAGCTTATACTTTATTTATTTATTTTACCGGCAAATACAGAATGTGCATATAGAAAAAAATAATAATAATAAAGGTTTACTGTTAACCGTGTTTATCCAGTGTCCACCCACCCAAAAGTATCCGCCGCAAGCATATTTTATTACCTACCTTAACGTACCTACATAATAAATTCAACTTTTAATATATAACTGTCTTTAGCATTAATTCCCTGGCTTAATTGGAGATATTTAGTTCGGAGAACATTTTTTGCCCTAGTAATGCGAGAGTCTATTATGACGAAACCCTGCAAAACACTGTCGGTTATTTCGAAAAATGCATGCGCTTTATTACCATTTATACCAGTTGGTTCATTATAATTTATTTATAATTTTTTCATTATCGACTAAGCATCATTGAACATACGCGATCACTGTTTGTACAATTAATACTTGATAAATAAAATATAAATCTGAACGATTCACCAGCATCTTTTTATATTTTTTTTATCAAATTGAAGAGTTTAAATAATTAATTTTCATACATTTTCTCCAAACAATAATTGTTCCTGCATTAAATATAAATATTAATTGACTAGATTATTTTAGTTTCTATTGCCCTTTGGCCATTTCCGTCACATTTAATTACATAATTAATCGTTTGATATGATATTAGTCATCAGTTATTGTTTCTATACTTATTACTTATATACAGAACATATTAAAATATTAAATTAATATTATTATATGATAGTATTGAGATTTAATACCATTGATCCTTAAATCGTCTTTACTTTTATATTTATTGAAACTAATATGATAATAGCATTGTCCTAACTCGTGAATAAGTTTTTTTTTAATTTTTAGTAAAAATTGTATTTTGTGGATTATTCCAAGTTGTAGGTGTAGCTGATGGTCCATTATATAATTTATATTACAGAATTTATATATCAGAAAAACAGAAAATATTATTTTTTTTTTCCCCATCAATAATATAATAAATATGTACCTATATATGCTTACATATTATCATTATCCATAACACTTTCGTTGAAATCGATCATTTACTTATTTAGAAAATCGTCTATTTACCTATACCCTAGATGTCATATATGTATGGGTTGAACTGATCGTTATATCATCATTATCGGCGACACATTGTACCTATATCCGCCTGTTACACGTTATTATAGCAAACAACATTTTAATTGTGTGCCGTTGACAACCAATCTGCAGACATCCAGACAGGCTTAAGTATGGCGGCAAGAATGATATTAATACAATTTTATACTACTTCGGTACTATGCGCATACAATATAATATGTTTATACACCTATATTATATTATATTCAATATTGAACCTATTTCCGGTCATTTGGAGACCTCACCTATAATAACCTAACCTTTGTCGCCAAACAAAATAATAATAATAATATACAAAGGCAAGATTATAGGTAATGGCCGATGGGTGGGTGGTTAAAGGTTAAAGAGATTTCTTTATATTCGTGGCATAAGAAAAAAAATATCTCAACAAAATAGCATTAGTATAATTCATTAAAATTTTACGTTTAACTATTTATTACAATATTGAATTTTCAACAGTACGCAGAGTACGGTCTTGTTATTTTAAAGTAATAATACCTACAAGAGTTTCATACGTTAAGTAAAATTCACAATTATTTTTCATTATTAAAAATTATAAAAATAATTTTAAATTACAATAATGTATTGATGTAAAATATGTTGATGGCCAGAATTTGGATCACGGTTCGGCTCTTGCAAACACCCTCATTTTAAAGTTTAAAAAAAAATAGACGATTCACGAGTGAATATTAATATTATTAATTAATATTGTCTTATTGTCATTTGATAATGAGCGATTGGCAGTGAACAACCATGCCAGTTTCCCTTCATTGCCATACACTTTTTAAACTAAAATAAAGCATATATACATATTTGTATATCGGTGAGTGGAACGTGTATAAATAATACCCTATTGATGAATGGTTATAATTAATATATACCAATAAAATAATGCAATACAAATATAAATTATAATTTATTTCCATTGTGCCCAGGGAACAATAGTGTCCTCGAGAATGGACCTATTGCCTATTTGCCTTATATACCGTGGTGGATTTAGTGCCCCCCCCCCCGGGTGCTTGGGAGCTGATATCACTTATCGGGTATCACGTAGATCTAAACGTATTAATTGTAGACTCCTACCAAAAAAAAAATAGGTTAAATTTGTTGCTACCTCGAAGTTGTTCATCGTGATAACTGCTTAAGGAGCTTTATTGTTAGCAAATAGCAAAAAAAAATGCTAGATACGCCATCTGTCTATGTACCTAGTATTATTAGTAAATATAATATATTATGTAGGTACCTATATATTGTATATTATATAAATATTATAATAATATAATTATAATCATCGATTGTTATTTTTAATCTTGTCGTTATTACCTTGCAGGAATTGTCGGAAAATCGCTGAAATACATCACGCCTCTGACCGTAGTGCCAACTATGTGCCTCATAGGTCTGTCGGTCATCGAAAAGGAGTGTTTTCTCATGTCAGGAAATTGGACTACAGCCATCATGTAAGTTATATTATAATCATAAATTATATTTTACTATGTATAGTTACCTAAACTTACAAGTTACAAGTTACAACGGTTGATATCTATACTGGTTACTGACTATACGTTCTGCCCGATAAAATACAAAATATTGGGTTATCGACACATTATATCATTACATCAACACATTATCGATCATAATATTTGTGGTTGAATTTTTTAACCCAAAGACAGGCTATTTTATACAAAATGAAAATGTTCGTTTTTCAAATTTTAAAGTATTTTTAATGATGTGTAATGTGTATACAATGTAACTCAAAATACCGCGACGGCGTGACGTCTACATCGATTAAAAAACGTTTGGGTAGGGTTGTGATATTATTCGTATTGAAATATATATTACAGCCAATTAGGTATTTAATGATAAAATGTTTAATAAAAATATTTTAATGTAAAATTAAACACATCAATCGTTTCCGTTGAAAACATTTATTATTTCATTAGAATAGCTTCAAGTTACAACTTTATTCTTCGCCTATTGAAATATTCGCATTATTTTTTTGACGTCACTTTTATATATTATAACACCTCTACCTAATTGAAAACTAACGCTCCACGTTTTAATAGATATAATTATAGTTATATTAAGGCTGTTAGTAAGTAGGACAGATTGGAATATTTGATATTGTGTATTTGGCATTTGTGTGTAAATATCGCTTTTAATCTCACTCCAATACCCGAATACCTTGGACAATATTTCCAAATATCTATTTTCTAATGACAAAGAAAAATCTGTACCAGTACACTCGAATTAACTCCCATACATAATAGAAAAAAACACTGTAGGAAATTTGAGAGTCAGACTAGAGACACAGCTGGTTTTTTTTATTCGAATAGCCTAAATCAAATCTATAAATCTGACTGTCGATCATCTGATTTGCTTGTAAGTGAAAACCTACCTCCATTCCAGGAATTTCGACATTATGTCCTATACAATTTATATGTTTCCCATAAGTTAAGTTTCTAATAATCGTTTTACAATCCTTATCGGTATAATACGCTTACGAGTTACGACATTTTGAATTTTGAATAACATAAAATATTTAGAAAACTGTTTAAAAAAATTAAAAATTAAAAATTATCAGATAAAATGAATGCATTTAATAGAAGAGATAATAATTATTTCTTAAAATGTCAGTATTATATGAACAATAAAATCTGTCGAATAGTGTTTTTAATTTTTATAATTAATTTCAACCTTGAGCATTTTTTTTTTTAAATTTTAACTGTGAGTGATCGAAATTACATTATTAGTTTTAAGTATTATTAGTAAATGTATATTAACATTCTTATATTTAAACAAGTAATTTTCATAAAATTATTATCATGTAATTATATATGACGCTGTGACCAGTGTACTTTGTAAGATAATACTGTTTGGTTAGTGGTGATAAATAATAAATTATATTATATTATATATATATTAAACAAACAGTTTTATATATTACTATTGGTATAACGTAACTTTATTCAGCACTGAATACGAATAATATGAGTTATTTTCTTGACTTTGACTGATAATCTCAAATATAACTACAATTGTATTAACTCTCATGTTTTATTTTGTTTACAGGACTCTATGTTTACTGACACTATTCTCGCAATATTTGCGAAAAGTCGCCATTTCCTTGCCAGTATACTCGTATAAAGGTGGACTGTTCATAGTGCGGTTGAAAATTTTCGCACTGTTTTCGGTAAGACACAGATCATCTCAGCGCATACGATGAACTTAGTTGTTTATTTATTAATTTAAATTTTTTTCCAGATATCACTCAGCGTTAGCATTATGTGGTTCGTGTGTGTTTACCTGACTGCCAATAATAGTCTATTACCAACGAACCCGGCGAACACAGAATTGAAGGCCGGAGTATTGCGCAACGCACCGATGTTACGAATTCCTTACCCTTGTAATAAAATATTATTGGGAATTCGTTTCAACATATTTTAAGAGTCCTGCTTAGGGATACAAAACGTGTTTGGGTTTTATCGTGTCAGGGGTATTTTTAAAAAAAGTAAACTCTTCACTTTTTCTGACTAATGTAACACATTAATTAATGAACGGAAATCTACACAGTCCACCTTCGTGATAGATCACTTGCAAACATAATTCTATACACCATATTACACCCTTAGCCCTCCAATCAATAAGAAAATGAAAATAAAACGAGCTCACAATTTGTTGAAACGAGTTATACTCGTACTTTCAGCCTATATTATTTTACCAATATTAATTAATTACTAAACCTATTTTTATAGTTCAATGGGGTTGGCCGACAGTTAGCTTGACGTCGATATTGGCCATGTTACCCGCGCTATTCGTCAACATTGTAGAGTCTGTCGCCAATTATTACACATGCGCGAGATTTGCCAGTGAGTATAATATATTATGATGATATTACTATTTATTAGCGAAATACATATTGGAGCAATTTGGGGGGGGGGGTTAGAGGGACTTAGCCCTTACAAAATTAAATTTAACCAAAAAAAAAATTGTATTTTAATTGAAGTATTAAATTTTTTATTAATTATTTAATGTTCTAATACAGTAAACGTTTGAAGAAATTATTTTATAAAGTTTAAAGAACAATTCGTTATTAATGTGTTTTTCATTGTGGACAATCGGATCCACTCACAGAACATAATATATAGATTTACTAAAAGTATTAAAAATTAGTAATTCCAATAAATTACTGATAATATTTCAATTTCTCAAGAATATATATAGTTGATACTCGATAGTAATGTTTTTTTTTATAAATGTTCAATTTCGAATCGACGGTTAGTGGTTACAGTTATAATATAATATATATAATTTGTAATTGTAATTGTAATTTGTTTTAATAAACATATTTTTAATTTTATAAATAGGTAGAATAGGTAGATGTATAATTATAATATGTAGGAAAGTGGGTAAGAAAAATAATATATACTCATTATGTTATATAATATTAAAATGAAGTAATGCATTCTAAAGGTATTTTCACTCGGGATGTGGGGGGCAGAGCCACCCACGGGTCAGTTTCATTTAAATACGTAAAGCCCCTCTAAGTAAAAAACTGAAATTGCGTGCATTTAAGTTTACACGGCAATTTTCAGCTTACTCCCTCGCTTATCCAACTAAGATTAATAATACCTGCCCATTTTTTTTCGAATTAAGAACATCATCAGTCACCTGCTATAAGGCAATGGCGTGCTTGGTAGGAGGTTGTTGAATTAAATTAATAACAGGTGTTCACCGCTATCAGTCAATAATAATCATTTAAAATTTTAAACCATATTCAACCACTTAGGTTAATGAATTCAGAAAGTTTTCTGAAACCATTGTTTACATTTTTTTTTTCAATTCAATAAATTATGGGTTTCGATGTGCTTGTGTGTGCCCAATATCTATACGTACAATCTGATACAAATAAAGTACATCTTTCCCCGTAACATACATCCTTGCATACTCAATTTTGTGTTACTTATATATATATATATAATATATGTACAGTAGATATGGTAAGTTAGTACCTACAATGGTGTTAACAATACATATTTTAATCGTTATAAATAACTAATAAGCGAGTATGTATATGCACTTAATATTTAATGTGCGTCGGTGGCTTATTGTTGTAGATTTGACAAAGCCTCCACCCAATGCGGTAAATCGGGGTATCGGCATCCAAGGTATCAGTACGATTTTTGCCGGTTTCTTTGGTACAGGTTCCGGGGTTAGCTCATCCAGCGAAAATGTGGGAAACATTGGCATCACCCGAGTAAGTATACCAGTAATAATAATAATATTTAATAATACGACATCATCGACAACTCAGTGTTATTTAATTATATATTTTTTAACTTAAAATATACTATAGACCATGGTGCACAAAATGTTGGTCTTGGTCCCCTTAGCGGATAATAAGTCTCTCGTAAGCTACCAATGCAGCTAACTACATTGACTACCAAGTCCATTGACTGGTAACGCACTGTCCAAAGAATAAAAATTGTATGTTCTAAAATATTTTAGCTTACATAAGTATTTGGTATAATATCATAATATAATGTACTTAGTAAAATATAATATATACAATATATTATTATATATACCTAGGTACTTATAAATCATAAACCAAAAATGTTATTGTTAGATTTTGTTATTAGTTATGAGGTGGTGTGAGGGAGGGGACGAAAGCCGGTAGGCCCCCACGGTAGTTTTCTGTTAAAAAAATGATTTCTCCCATTGGTCAAGTCGATTTATTTCTTATTTTTCCACATGTGACTGTCCTGCCAGAAAATAAATGTATTAGTCTCGAGTTTCATACTATATACATCATACGTGCGTATATATGTGTTTATATTTTATTGTTTATTGTATGTATAGATATAAAATACAAACGTAATCTCAAATCACATAAAACTATACATTAATATCGTCCGACGAACATATACATTATACTATTATAATATAATATAATATTATAATAATGGTAACATTATCCATGTCAATGGTTATCGCAATATATTATTTACTCCAGAATAACATAATACTTATTGTTTTTTTTGTGATATGGAGTACCTAGACACAGTTGGGGACCTCGTCAAAGCGTACTTTTTATAAAGTCAGAAATGTCATATATGTTTCAATAGCCACCTGCAAGATAACCAATATATTAATTATAAATTTTTTCAGTTCTGATTTTTTCGTTTGTTTGATTTTTAGATGCTCTTTAAAATTAGAGCATGTAGAATAATAATTATCTTTACGATTGCAATAACTGAAGCAAACGTGATTTTCTAAATACGCGGTTAAAAATGTCTGTACATTATATTTCGATCATTCGCCAGTGCCCTGCCCAGTGATTTTAGTCAGCTTATATTGTCTAACATGTATGTTTTTATCAAACATTTTTATAATCATTATATAAATAATATTATCATACACAACAAACAACAATGTTTTTTTAGTAAAATAAATAATGATTGAATTTTTTAATATTGTGTGATAATATATCTATTTATGCTTCACAATCGTCCTTAGTGCACGTCAAGTGATAATATTTTAGCATCGAATAGGTCAGCATTTATCAAATGTAACTTTGGAAAAATAATATATGGTCGGTAGGTACACGCGATTGCAAACGGTTATTTATTATATTATTTCAATTCTGTGCATGCACGTCGATTTTTAAAAATTTAAAAATACTTATAATTGTGAACTTTAATATAATATAATGTGTATTAATTTTTTCATATACTTATCAATCCATTTACTGCATTGCCTCTACACTTAAATTAATTTAATTCATGTAATTAATGATACGACAAAATAATAATTACAGACGATTGACGCTTTTAGTGAACAAAAAACGTTCAACCCCGTTGAAACGAGATTATATTATATTTTATTCTTACACTTGATAGTTTAAAAATAAATAATAACTGTTAAATAAATTGTATAAATTCATCCACACAAGATGCGTTCATAAATTTATAATATTATATTATATTGTTTCGATTGTCGGGCTAAACAATATGTATAAACATAATCTAGAAGTACAACAGTTATATTATGAATGTAATATTATTTATACGTTTATTTACTTGTACTATGCAAAACAAGCAACTATATTTTATTTTACTTAAAAATAATTGAATTTTATGTTCTTACATAATAATATAGTAACAGTGTAATATAATCGTTAGTACATTTATCATATGAATGGAATTGAAATATTCTCCTGCAATATCGTCAACCATTCTCGCACTAGTGTGTACTTTGGGTCACCTATACGAACGGCCTTAAAATGTTGTAGCATTAAAACATAATATTATTTTGCAACACACACACACGTGCAAATACATCGTTCGTAGAATTTAAAAGACGTAAAATATATATGAAAAACAAAATCAGTCATATTTGCAACAATTAATTTAAATAGTTTAATTTATCTAAAAAAATTTTTATCGTGTCACATTTACCGGTCGTTTTTTAGGGGGTTATGTATAGGCAATTATTTAAGCTACTGTTTTCGAGAATAAAATGCTTGAAATTTAATAAACATCAAAATATAGTATGCAATTAATTAATAATTTGCAATATAAAAATATGGTTCGAACGACGGTGTATGTTGCTTATACCTCGTTACGCCTTTGCATTTTTAAAATTGATCCACAGCCCCCAGGTTATACAGGAGTTAGGAAGTGCACACATTTTTGCTAGGCGTTTAGGTCGTTTTAATGAAAAATTTACGAGGTTTGCATTGGTTTTAACTCGTAAGTCATTCAGAAAATTTAAAAAGTACGTTGAACTTACAATACGATGGAGTAAATCGTGGTGTTTCAGGTGTGCAGTAGAAACGTGATTGGACTCGCAGCCTGTATAATGATCGTCGCGTCCATGCTTACCAAATTCATCGCACTGTTAGTGACTTTACCGGATCCAGTACTCGGCGCCATGACGTCGGTGTTACTCGTGCTAATCGGAGCCGTAGGCAAGTATATTTAAATATAATTCATGTCATATTATGTCTATGTGCAATGGTACCAATGGTTACCGTATCATAAGATACCAAAAATGTAGGGCTGCACATTTTCAAACGGAGACTCTTGTACCTACTTTTACCGACTGATGTTTTGCACTTATGTGGACGGAGGACTGAACTTTGGCATATTTTCGTGTCTATGTCTCGTGCGTGGTGCGTATACAGGAACATGACAAAACGTATAGAGGTGTATCTCATACATTTGCGAAATTTGAACGATTATTATATTATCATAGGAGTCAATGAAAATAATTTCCTGAAATTGCATTTGCAATCAAAAATGTTTATTTAGCAGGCGTTGATTTAACTCGAATATCACTTTCTTCAACGTTTACCATGGAATATGTATGTTCATTCCCTTGCTTTATTTTGCTGTAGGTGCTATAGCCTATAGGTACTGTGTAGAGTGTACCTAACCAGGTATACATCATATAATATTTTCCCACACGTGAGAGATAATAAATTAAACCTTGGTGCATCTTATTACGAGGAAATAGGTTATAAGTATTAACATAAACCATCTATTCTTACGGCGTTGGCGTACGCATGCTATATTATAATATTACTGAGTTATTCTAGAAGTTTTCTGCATTTAAATATTATAATAAATAATAATATATAAATACTTATAATAATGTTTTCTAAACACATTTTTTATTAAATACAACCGTAATGATGGTTTCGTGACACGTGAGTCATAACTAATTAATAATACCTATACTATAATTTAAAAATCTACTACTACTTTAGTATTTAATTAACTACTCAATAGTTAAAACTTCTTGAGGATTAGTCTGTACACAATTTAAGTGTTTTTTATCGCATAATTGCTTAAAATTAGAATTTTCCGAAAAAAATTATTACCTATAATAAAACTTAAAAATCGGAAAACATTTAAAATCTTAATCGAAAAGAAACACAATGATTGTATTATAGTACGACTAAAACCTACGTCTCTTTGTTATCAAACAATCAATATTTATTTTATTGTTGATCATTAATTGTCTTATTTATTTATATTGTTTGTACAGCGCTGTCTAATCTACAGTTCATAAATCTCAACTCGTTAAGGAACATGTATATTCTCGGATTGTCAATATTTTTTGGATTGGTAATAATAATTTATTATAATACAATATATGTTTAGCTTTTATAGTCGTCCGTTCAAATAGATGGACGGACACATGAGTAAATAAAATAATGAATTATTATATTAATCTAAGTTTTGAATTTATTTTACTTACAGGCGGTTCCTAAGTACTTATCAACGGTACAAGGTAATATTATAAACACCAAATACGAAACCGTCAACAACGTCCTGATTGTGTATCTGTCCTCTGGAATATTTATTGGCGGATTTATTGGTTTTATTTTAGATAACACAATTCCAGGTATTGTGCAACTATTTTATGATGTATTTATATTTATACATGCATTGTAACTATCCAATACCTATGGTCAGAAATTGGGGGGGGGGGTTAAACTCTCCTGATTCTTGTAGCTATATAGTTATCTAGCTCTCCAGGGTCAACATTATTTTTATTTGAAGGAATTACAATTTTTATTATTTACTATAATGTATATTCAATGCAACTAATAATTTTTTTATTTTATTAGTATCTCGACTATAATTATAGCTTACAGCTAACGAAATTGATTTATATTATTTTTTTATTATTCACTTTAATTTATGTACTTGAATTTCTTTAACATATTATATTCTATATTATAATGATACAATTATATTGTACAACGAAGCTTTTACAGACTTGAGAGAGTTTACATATATATGCCTTTCGGCATTCACTCTTAAGGTAGTACTGAAGTAGACCCGGGAGAGTTTATAGGTCATTAAAATTGTGAGAGTTTACAATCACCCCGGAATAGCCGGAAATTGAGGGGGGACTTGACTAAGTGAGGGTCTAGGACCCTAACATTTTTTCAAACCCACCACAAGGACCAAGTAATTCATGAAGCACCACCAATCTCCATGGTTATAATAATTGATCAGTAATTGCAAATATTAAACCTTCCCTGCAGTTGTAAATATCCGCCTGTGAAACTTCACTATATAATATATTCGTATAGACGCCTATAACGAATAAACCGCAGACGATAATGTGATATTAGTAAATTACTGATATTACATATTAATCTATACTATTATATAAAGAGGAATCGTTAGTTATACAGTTGTCGAAAATAATCTCTGGAACTACTGAACCGATTTCGAAAATTCTTTCACCAATAGAAATCCACGTTCTTTGTGAGTGTCATAGACTAATTTAAAAAGGGAATCGATCGACCCCGGTAGGTACTAAAACAGGAATTTTGAGATTTACGATAGAAATTGTTGTTTATTAATGGTTGCTATGGGTTATAGGAGTTGAGAATAATATTTATTTATTATTATTATTTTTAATTTGAATATTAATGCCTAATGGAGCGTCTCAATCTCCTTCGTTTCAATCAGTCGAAATTACGACCAGACGAGTACATCAACTTGCGTAACGCCATCGCTACTGGATGAGACGCGGCCAACATTGATCGTTTGACCCTTCTCTCTGCCCATTCTTCTTTTTATATATATCAAAATGAATGTTTGTGTGTAGATTAGACGCCTGGGTAGAAGATAGACTAATTTAAAAAGGGTTAAATTTGTTTTTTTTATTCATCAGATTTTAGTATGGTTGGGTTAGGATTTTGTACTAATTGATTATATTAATCCTCCGTAGGTGGAATTAAGTAAAAACGATAAACTTGGCATAACTTTGGTCCTTGATACTTTAGAGTTAAGTCATACACTTACGTACAAACAGTACGGGGTCCGCGATCTACCGCAGGTAGATTGCCTACCTGATAATATACTCTGCTGAGAATCAGAATTTTTATTCCGGGCAACGGAAAAGTTATGATAAGTTTTGAACACCATACACCCAAATATTAAACAACGAATTGAACAAAGTTTGAGCCATAAAGAGTTGGTACATTTAACGGGCAACGAAGTGCACAGGATCAGCTATATACCTATTATAAATTATAATCAATAATCATTAATTATAATTATAATAACTACTTTATTCAACACGCGTTAGGCATTATTTTACACATATCTAAAAATCTATTGTTTCTTAATTAAATTTTTTTTTTTACATGCTCGTTTAGTCGATGACAATGACGCCATGAACAGTAACGGGTACCACAATCCCAACGACGAACTCAAGTTTTCCAACAAAACCGACGACGAACAAGTATACAAGATTTCAGATCGCCTCTACGATAAAATTAATTATTGTTTATCAATTTTCATCTAACACGCGTAATATTATTACGTTATACCTATCTTTGTTTATCGATAAAGCCTAATACATATATACTATGTATAAAATGTACCTATTTTCGATTGACTGATCACAATTTTTTATTTTAACCATTTCATACTTACGCTATTACTGTAATTATATGATTGTGTATTAATTTAATTTTTAATTTTTATCATGTTTATGTATTAACTAAATGTAATAGTATTGTAAAGTTCGACGACTGAGCACGCTTGATTCGTTTCATGACGTGACAGAACTATCTATTTCCTGTGTTTATTTAAATATAATATTATGTATATGTTTTGATAGTGATCGAATTTATATATTATAATATAGGCTAAAACATCATGGTAGTCCGCCGATCCAAGTTGAAGTTTTGGGTCGTCATAATAAATTTCTTTAACACAAAAATGTCGGTAAAAATGAAATTATCACGTATACATGCAGCTTGTTGATTTAACCAGCCTGCAGGGAAAAACCTTTCGAAGTGGCCGAGAACAAGATTCTAGAACCTCTCCTTTTATACAAAGGTAAATACTGGTGGTAAAACTATTTTGATCATATTAAATTAGTACCTAATAATGGCCATAGCCATAATTTAAAATGTTGGAAATATCTTACAATAAAGATATCGCATATCAAAAAGTATCGAATTTAATATTTATAAATGGGAAAAGGACAATAAGTCCTCGGATCAGTAAGACCGCGTGGTCTTATTTGCCACTCATTTTCCATCTTTGGTGTTATTGTCTCAATTTAATTTTATAAACACTGGGCTTCGATAAGATTATGGTTATATGGCGGTTACCCTGTGACCAATTTGAGGTGGTGTTCCGTAGCAGGTCGAGGGATATTTTCGATTTTTTTGTACGAGAGCAGCAAAGCGAGCGAGTTTCAACGAATTAATCACTGGTATCAATAAATTTACATGTAGTCTTATTGTCACCTGAAAAGGTATTAAAGTCCAACAATAATTAATATTGTTCTTTCATTTATTTGATCTCGAATAGTAAAATACTTAAATACTTAATATGAACTGAATTAAAAAAGTTTGAAGGTGTAAAATTATATTTGTTCCAAAATTGAAGTTTTGCGTTCATTGAACAATAATTTTAATTTCTTTAGAACTAATGTTACTACTTTTGATAGGTAGCACATAAGGTGTTTTTTGTTGACAAATTTTGTTTAGGTACCTGAAAAAAATAAGAAAATGTATGTCAACGCTACACACCTACATAATAATATTATTAGGTATGGACTTACCCAAATCAATAACGACTAATGCAATACTGCGAACGCATGAGTATACCTATCGTAAACGTTTTTAACATAATAATTGCGATATGTGGTCTAGACAAGTTTTTAAAATCGTACAAATACATCTGATTTCACTCCCTATATACATTTTATAATGTTGTACCGAGTATTTGAATTTATAATATCATCAGATGTAGGTGCACGATGTGACATAGATGTACTTATTATATTATATATTATTGCATAATTAATAATTTTAGTATGCTCTATGTGCATCATTGTGTTGTAGGTACAATAACAGCGATTCTATTTTACATCATAGAACCACTCGATGTTTGGAAAAGGTTAAGCAATACCTGGTAACTCGATGGCCTATGTGCCGAGGGTATTAAAAAAAAAAAAAATACCTGGTAACCAGAAATTATTTATTATCTTATTAATTATCGAACTTAACTTTGGGATTACCTATAAACTATGCCTGTTACCTATGTAACTAGGTATACGTTTAAATATGAGTGTCCTTCGATAAAAAAAAATCGACTTATCTATAGATAGCTGCCCATCTGTAGTGCAATAAATTATTGTAACTGTTCTAATTTATTATACTTTTGTCATTTTTACAGTCATAATCGGAAATCCAATCGTACCTAGGATTAAAAAAAATGAAGATGACAATTTTATTACTCGCCAGACCCTATGTGCTTCAAAATATAAAATATGTAGGTAGGTGTGTAATACATATAATTTAACGTCGTCAGTTATTGTCATACGTATACAGCCAAATACAATGCAAATAATAATTTAGAAATATTAAAAAATACGCCAATATAATATTGTTTTTTATATGATACTAATATCTAATAATTATTAATAAAAGTATTTTCAATTGTTCAATACATTTGTACAAAGACATTTGATTTTCTTTGTTTATTTAAAATATTTTATTGTATTTTATTATAACATAGCGATAATTTTATAATTTTGCCGTTGTAAATAACATATAATATTATGTGCGTGGCACGACGTTAGTCATCGCTCCGAGCTAATATAAATATATACATTATCATTAATTGCAATATAAGTTTTATTTTTAAGGATGTAGGTATTGCGTTTTTGATGAGTGTACATCCGTTTAAATAAATTATACACTGCATATGTATAAAAACCTATATAGGTATAAAATTATTAAATGTTAATATGATTTTCAAAACGTTTATATTATCATATTTATTTTTTTGTTATTGTGTTGGTCGGTGACAAGATTTGAATCTTATTAATTAAATAAACACTACATTTAAAGGCTGGGCTATTCCACGTCGAGTCCAATAAGGCCATATATGGAGAATGTCACATCTGCAAGCATAGGCGGAGATCAGGGGGGACTTACAGGGGCTTAAAGTAGGTCCCGCCCCCCTCATTTTGTAGTTGTGTCTCGGGATCGAAGCTCCCCCCGCTCACATTGATGTTAATAATGTTAGCCCCCCCCCTGTAATTGTAATGGATTTCTGCCTATGCCCTTAAATGTTATCTCCGTGTTACAAATATCATATCAAATTTGTGTTCAGCTGCAGTTCCATATTTGGGTTTTAGCTTTAATATTATATTGAATTATGGTGAGAACATAATATTTGTTCTTTCGTCATGTGTTTGATGATAGTTTAATTTTAAGTGTATTATAAAAATTTTTAAATTTTAATATCTTACGTACCTACTCAAAACTTGCTAAAATATTAAAATATTATAAAAACCCGACGAGAAAACATGTAATATTATAATATTCTTACCTTGAGGTTTGATAATATATAACTATATGTATCTATCCATTCAATAATATTAAAGCTAACAATATTAAATTGTAACAGCCTATCGCAATTATCCATGTTGTACATTTATAAGAGAGAGTTAAACATACTTTGTGGGTGATGCATTCCCTTAAAAAGTAAAAAATGTTGAGTCGATTAAATTAAATCGTTACAAACAAAATTTGTATTCTTTAAAACTATGCGAAATTCCACCAATGCGGGGCAATGTTCGTTTAATATCTACTACCCCATTATTTTGTATCGTCTTTACTTTTTAAAACGGTATGGCAAGACAATTTATTATTTTTGGTAAAAGTCATGGTGCTTGTACTACGAGCACCTTTTTACATTTTAAGCGGCCCTCCAGAACTATTCTAAAAACAACGTTGTCCTCGGTGGAGAAAAAAGATCGAATAATATTTCAAATAACACAACGGAAACCACTGCTACTGCATATAGGTAATATTATATTATTAGTCATTAATAATAGGTATTCGTGATATTATATTATATAATATATAATATATATAAACTATATTGAATTATTATAACTGCAGTTTCTATATTATTTCGGTAATACGTTTTTGTTGTTTTCGTGACAGCACAGATTTGTGATCATATTTTATGAGTTATGACCGTCTTGCAGAGGCCATGACGGTGAATATCTTAGGGTTCACTATCGTAATAATTTAGTCACATCGACGACTACGACGATTGTCAATATATGTATACCTATAGCTGGAACTCTGACGTGGGTTTAAACGCGCAGTTTGTCGAAGAATATTAGACATTAAAAATCAATGTCGAAGGCGTATTGCATCTATAATAGTATTATTATAACAAACAAACGTAAAGGTAAATGAACCATTTTATCAGCAACGCAATATTGTGAGACTATAATATATGCTGTACTTATATAAAGACGTGTCGCCGTCGTAATACCTATAGGTATAATATTATAATATTACAAGCTGGACCTATTTCGTAGCCCCTTAAATGTACCAGCTCTTTATGACTAAAACTTCGTTCAATTCGTTATTTAATATTAGGTGTATGGTGTTTAAAATTAATCTTAACTTTTCCGTTGCCCGGAATAAAAATTCTGATTCGCTGCAGTATATTATCAGGTAGGCAATCTACCTGCGGTAGATCGCGGACCCCGTGCTGTTTGTACGTAAGTGGTAAGTGTATATGACTTGATATGACTTGTATGATTTAACTCTAAAGTATCAAAGTTATATCAAGTTTGTCGAATTCTACCTATGGTGGATTAATATAATCGATTAATATAAAATCCTAACCTAACCTGTTGCGTCATTTTTGACATCCAGATTTCCTACTTTTACGGTGAATTTTTCTAAAATTTTGTTTCCTTAATAACCTTCTCCATGATATACTCTTTCGTTTAAAAAAAAATCAAGAAGATCTGATAAGTAGTTCCAGAGTTGACCCTGTACAAAGATTTTCCAATCTAAAAAGTAAAAACCTACAGTTCCCTACTAACACCCAATGGCCTATGTTGCCGCGGGTTATCCAATAAAAAAAAAAAAAAAAATAATAATACAAATCAACAAAGGTGCCCGTAACCAATAGCAAGCAATATATAATACACTATTATTATTTTAATCAGCAACTTAATTTTTTATTATTATTATTATTTATTATTTAGTGTGCACTTAAGAGGTTATAACTCCGGAACCACTTATCGCACAGCGTACAAACTTCACAAAAACCATCTACATATCAATCTTAATTTTTCATTCCCTGAAATTTTTATCGAAATCGGTTTGGTGGATCTTGAATTATAAAATTTATTCAAAATGTACACTTATTTTTATATATATACATAGGTAGGTAGGTACACGTTTTTACGACTTTTTATACTTCTACAATCTACAGGATGATATTCGCCCAGCCACCTCACCCCATGTG